CTCTCTGAGACCCCTCCCCACTCTCCTGAGCTGGGATCCCCTCTGTCTTTGTAGAGGAGGCAGGACCGTCGGGGGTGGGGGGAGACCTGGGTTTGCAAGCAGGTGTCTTTCCAAGGTGATGTGGGCCTGCCAGCCCTAAGGCAGTGTCTTGGATGTCTTGAAGGAGACTCGGGTATTGTGTCATCTCCCTTCCCAAGGTGGATCTGAGAGGCCTGCCAAGACCAAGGGCCAGGACCAGGCATGATGCCTGAGGCTACTGGTCCCTGGCAGGCCCCCGAGGGCCAGATGCCCTGTGGCGTCTGAGGCTGCAGGATTACAGAGTCATGCCAGGTGCTTCTGTCCTCACAGTGTCTGCGGTTCAGGGAGGAGGGCTTCTCTGGGGCCAGGGGAGAGGCGATGTTAACTCCCAGGGCTGTGACTGCCCCTAGGGAAGATGGGCTCTCGGTTCTGTTCCAGATTCTGATCCCAGGCTTTGCTCTTGACCTTGGGAAGGTCATTTCTCTTAAGCCTTGGGGTATTGAAAACTGGCAAATTTTGTTAAGTTGAGTCTGCTAGAAAAACCCTGAGCCTTCACAGCAAGTACCTGGCCATAAAGTTCTATTGGGTCATTGGGAAAGTCATGGTGCATTTTTGCATAGGAAAACAGAAAAACACGTCATGACTTTTCTGAAGGATGACCTAGTAGAACGTAGAAGCTGGAAGATCGGGGTGGGGGGTGGGCATCCAGGAGAGAGGGGCTGCTGAGTGGGCTCCAGGCCCCTGCTTTTCCTCCTCTTGCTCTAACTTTTTCTGTTTTATTTTAAAAAAGAATTATTTATTTATTATGATTTTTACAGAAATTATTTTATTGACTTTTAAAATGTATTATTTACTTTAACATTTTATTATTTTTAAATTTGACCAGAGACAGAGAAAGAGAGTAGTTAGCCAGTACCCTAACCACCACACCACCAGCCAATCCCATGATTTATTTTTTCTTAATTTGCTATAGAGTACATGTACTCACCAGAGAGAGACAGAGCCAGGGAAGGGAATGAGAAAGCAAGCTGCCAGGTCTGAGACTTGAACCATGGTTGGCCATGTGGGAGTCCAACATCCTAACCACCATGCCAACTGTTGGTCCCATTTGCGCATTTTTTTTTTTTTTTGGAGGGGTTTTGCTATAAGGCCCATGCGCTCACCAGAAAGACAGAGAGAGACAGAAAGTGAGAAATCACCCCCCAGGGGATGGCCACACTGCAATCCCTTCTCCTCCATTCTCCTCTCGGAATCTTGGGCACACACACACACGCGCCTGGTGTGAGTTTAAGCCACCGGGTTCAGGACTCAAATGCGGTCGACTACATGGGAGTTCAGCGGCACAGCCATTACTCCAACTGCTGGTCCCCCATCTGCACACTTTTGTTGGAACAAAAATTTCAGCCCTTGAAAAGTTTGAAAACCTCTGCTAGTGTGGCCACATTACACGGAGGAAACTGAGCCAGAGTCTCAGCCAGCCCCTGCCAGCTACAGGCAGAATCTCAGCTTCCTGAGGACAGTCAAGGACGATGGTGGTGCTGGTGATAATGCCAGTGGTGATGACAGAGACGACAGCGATGACGGTGGTGACGGGTGGTGGTGACGATGGAGATGGAGACAATGAGGGAACACCTAAGCATTTCATCCAGATTAATTCACTGAGGCCTCACGATGTTATTTTGATTACCATGTTTTTTCTGTTTTTTTTTTTTTGAGAGGTTTTTGCTATAGGGTGCATGCGCTCTCCAGACAGACAGAGACAGAGAGACAGCAAGCGAGGAATCATCCCCCAAGGAGGATGGCCACGCTGCAATCCCCTCTCCTCCATTCTCCTCTCGGCATTTGGGCACGCACGCACACGCACCCGGCATGAGTTTAAACCACCAGGTCTGGGACTCGAACCGCGGTCGACCACATGGGAGTTCAGCGACATAGCCATTACGCCAACTGCTGGTCCCTAATTACTGTGTTTTACAGGGGGGTTAAGTAACTTGCCCAGAGTCACATAGCTAGCAAGAGGGAACTAGAATTCAAGTCCAGGCCTGGTCCAGCACCCCCACTCTTGACCATGGTGCCATTCTGCCATGGTCTTGCCACCTGGAGGTGGGTCTGCCTCACTCGGAGACTTTGGTTCTTGCAGAGCCAGAAGGTTCCTGTGGGTCTGAGGGAATCCTCAGTGCTCCACGCGGGTGTCCAATTGGACCTTAGTTCAGAGGACAGCAGGGATGACTTCCTTTCTCTCTGACCTGCCTGAAGACCTGTGTGATGGCCCAGGCAGCTCGATAGCAGGATGGAAGACAAACGCGTGGACAGCGAGGGTTTCCGGAACACTGGAGGAAATGCCCTGGGCCCATTCCCGCAGGGTGTTCATTTTCGGGGTTGCTGCTGTCAGGCAAATACAGGGGCACGAACTTCTGTGGCTGCCTTGGGAGTCTGGCAGCTGTGTGGTGCCGGAATGGTCTGGAAAGACCTAGAACCCAGTTCTCCCTCACTACTTAAGTAAATACAGGCTTGCTCCCAGGTTGTCTGGAGCTGAGAGTGGAGGGCGAGGCTGAGGATCTTCCAGACTGACACTTTGGCTTACATATAGGTGAACCAAGCCCCAGAGACAGTGAGTGACTTCACCAACATCACACAGCACACTGGAGACACAGCTGGGGCCGGAACTCAGCTTCCGTAATTCTCAGTCCTGTGTTCTCCCTCCCAGACACTGGTGTGGAGGGGCACTTCCACATGAGGCCCTAGCTACCTGGTCTTAGTCCTTGGTCCTCTTCCGCCCCAGATAGTCTCTTTCCAGTGAACTGACCTTGGGCTATCACCCGTGGGTGCCAGGTCTCACAGCTGTCGGCAGAAGTTCAAGGATCATTGTTGCCAGATAATAATAGTCAGGAGCTTGGGGACCCTTGGATGAAAGGTGCCAGAGACAAGCTGTCAGTGACGCACAGGCTTTGGACGGGGCCCAGGGAGAGTGGGGACGTCAGCCTGGGCTGTGGGCAGACCTGGAGTCCTGGAGAAGCCTGAGGGGAAGGGAGTGTTCCCTGTCCATGCAGTGTGTGCCTGTGTGTGTGTGTGTGTGTGTGTGTGTGTGTATGTGTGTGTGTCTGCAAGTACGGGCATGTGCTATGAGATATTTACACGCACCCCTGTACGTCCGTGTGTGTACGTATGAGTGTGCACGTGAGTCTGAGTGCCCACAGGTGTGCACATCTGTGGGCCCTTGTACATTTCTGTGTATCCGTTTGCATGTAAGTGTCTGTGTATAACAATACAGAGGCCTGGTCGTCATCGGGAGTGTGGCCATGGAGTCAGACGGCCTGAGTGAATCCCTGTCAAGTCGCTCAGTCTTTCTGTGCCTTCATTTCTTCATCTGTGAAATGCGGTCCACCTTGTTTATTTTTATTTTATTTTATTTTATTTTGTTTTTTGAAATAGGGCACGTGCACTTGCCACAGTGAAAAAGAAAGTGAGAAATCACCCCCTAAGGGGATGGCCACACCACAATCCCTTCTCTTCCAATCAGCTCCTGAGATTTTGGGCATGTACATGCATCTTGCATGATTTTTCAAGCTACCAAGTCTGGGATTCGAACCACGGTTGACCATGTGGGAGTTCAACACCTTACCCACCACATCATCTGCTGGCCCCTTGTTGGGCTTTTTAAATGTAGCATTTTGAACATACAGTAAGTGCCATGCAGCTGTGGGTTAGGATTGCTGGTACTGGTATTTAACAAAACAGGCATTTGCTTAGGTCCATGTATATATATCTGGGAGGGTGGACTTAGCATGTGATTAGACCCTCTTCCTAATGGAGGGTCTGAGATCCATCAGACAGCATGTGTGCAAATGGTTGGAATGTGTTTCTTTGTGTAACAAAATAATCATGGCATTGGGGCCAGCAGGTGGTGTAGTGTTTAAGGGGCTGGACTCCCACGTGGTTGACTATGGTTCAAGACCTGGACCCGGCAGCTTGAAACTCTGGGGATATATGCATGCATGCACAAAATCCCAAGAGAATAGAGAAGGGATTGTGGCATGGTCATCCCCCCTTGGGAGTCCTAATGAGGGTACCAGCAATAATTCACCAGCCAGCAACAGTGGGTGAACATAAGGGTAGGGTAGTATGGTGGTTGAGGTTGCTGGATCCCACATGGCCTACTGCTTGGTTCGAATCCCAGTTCAGAGGCTTGAAAAACAAGCCATCAGGCATGTGTGTGAGTGTGCCCAAAACCTTAAGGAGAATGGAGAAGGGGTTACAGCATGGCCATCCCCCCTGGGGATTGCTTTCTCACTTTCCCACAATCCCTTCTCCTCCACTTCCTGGGATTTTGAACACGCATACATATGCTCTCAGTGTGTTTCTCAAGCCACTGAGTCCGGGACTCGAACCGCACAGTTGGCCATGTGGGATCCAGAAGCCTTCACCACCACTCCACTAGTTAGCCTGAGACAGTCTGCTTTTCGCCTGCTCCTCTGCACTCCAGTCCTGTAAAACTGAGCTCGTGACTGCATGTCCGAGTCCCCGTTTCCTTGTCTGTAAACAGGGGTGATTTGAACGGCTCTAAAGGGACTGAAGGTACGGAGCTCAGCATGGGCCTGTAGGTGCTCCCAGCCTGTCTCAGAGCTCCTGCCTCTCAGTCTTCTGCCATCCAGGCATGGAGGACAGTGGAGTGAGGCCGGGGCACACTGCAGAGATGAGGGGAGGATGGTGGTGATGATAAAAATAATAATGGCAAATCTTTATACAACGCTTCCTGTGCCAGCCACCCTCTGGCACTCAGCATGTGCCATTTCATTAAATCAGTTGAGCAGAGACAAGTTACTCACATTCCGTGAGGGATGAAGCTGAGGTACAGGAAGGGGAAGAAGTTGCCCCAGGTCGCACAGCTAGGAAGAGAGGGAGCTGGACTTGAACTCATGTCTGGTCACCTCTGGTCCCACTTTGCATTCTTGCATCTGACTCTAGCTCCCCTATACCCCCAGGCTCTTCAAGGGACACCCTGAGACCCTGGAGAAGTTCGACAAGTTCAAACACCTGAAGACAGAGGACGAGATGAAGGCCTCGGAGGACCTGAAGAAGCATGGCAACACCGTGCTCTCGGCCCTGGGGGGCATCCTCAAGAAGAAGGGGCAGCACGAGGCGGAGATTAAGCCCCTGGCCCAGTCCCACGCCACCAAGCACAAGATCCCCGTCAAGTACCTGGAGGTAGGGGCGGGTGGGAGGGTGGAAGGAGAGGCCTTGAGGGGACGAATCCCAGTCCAGCCACCAATTTCCTTTAACCAAGGGAGTAACCTGTGTTGCTCCTGCCTGTGCCCCAGTTTTCTCGTCCATAAAGTGAGCCAGCACCCACTTTTCCTCCCTTGTGGGGCCATTGAGAAGGACTGCAGTGTCTTGAATTTAGAATATTTTTTAAAGAGATTTTTGCTATGGGGTGTATGTGCTCACCAGAGAGACAGAGAGAGACAGAGAGACAGAAAGCGAGAAATCACCCCCCCTCCCCGGGGCAGGGGGATGGCCATGCTGCAACCCCTTCTCCTCCATTCTCCTTTGGGGATTTTGAGTATTCATGCACACGTGCCCAGTGTGAGTTTTAAGTCACTGGATCTGGGACTTGAACCGTGGTTGAATATGTGGGAGTCCACTTTTGCAACCATTACACCATCTGCTGGTCCCTTGAATTTAGAATCTTTCACGTAGTATGGTAAATCAGTAGCTCTCACTGAGGGACACGGGGGTGCGCAGCTTTCGTGTTTCCACGGGAAGATGCCATTAGCATATCCACTCAACGGCTGAGGAAACTGAGCTCAGCAGGTTAAGTAGCTTGTCCATGGTCACAGAGGCAGCAGGTGGCAGAGCTGGGATTCACACTCATGTCCCCATTTCTCCAGAGCCCCCTGCCTCTGTGCCACTGAGAGTCTGGAACACAGAGGACTCATGTGGCAGCTCGACCCAGGTGGGGTGGCCAACCGGTTGGGTGTACTGTTCCTGCATCTTTACAGAGAGGCAGAACCTCGGCTGTCCCCGATACGGCTGTCAGTCTGAACCTCCTGAGATGGGCTGGGGAGTGGGTGGGCCTGGAGCTTGAGCTTCGAGTTCTATCTCCACACCTGGAGAGAGGAGTGGATGTGGGAGGGGAGCTCTGAGGGAGCAGACCACGTGGACGGGGCCTCCTCTAGAGGGGAGGCAGCAACGAGGACAGTGAAGAGAGCAGCCAGTTGGGATGGGCCGTGGTAAGCCTTGGCATGGGTCACCTATGAATTCTCATGATCATCCCAGGAGATCAGGAGTTGTGTCTGGTATCTTCTTTTTTATTCCCCTAAAGGAAGTCCAGGGCAGGGGCCCAGAGCTGGTGGGGGTCCATAGTCATCAAGGGTGCCAGCTCTTTCTTCACTGCCATCCTTAGCAAATGTCTGTCCTCAAAGTTGCCTCATGGCCAAAATGGCTGCAAGGGGTCCAGCCATCTGCTCCATATTCCAAACAGGAAGCAGGGGAAAGAAAGGAAGGGTCTCCTCTAAAGAGTATGAAGAGTCCCAGAAATGGCATGCAACAATTTTGTTCCATGCCATTGCTCAAAAGTCAGTTCCAGGGCCATGCCTGTCTAGATGGGAAGCTGGAGAACAGAGTCTATTGCCAGGCCATACAGCCAGTGTTCTGCTACCGAGGAAGAAGGGAACATGGGCACTAAGTGAGCAGTTAGTGTCTGTGCTGGGCAGGTGCTGTTCTCATCACTTTACTGATGGGAAAACTAGGGGCTCAGAGAAGTTATGCAGCTTGCCCAAGGTCACACAGTGAATAACCCAGCAGGCACAGTTAGATGTATGGTCGTCTGAAAGTCATGCTCTTAATCTGTTGGGGCACCGTTTTTGCTATGGACAACAACCACCCCCTACAGCCTCACCCTTGGCACCCCCACCCCAGCCCTGTTGCTCACAAAAAGCCTGCCTGTCCTGCCAACTCGGTATCACAGAAACAACCAGCCAGTTCTTCCTCCGAGACGCTGGCGCATGCTGTGGGCCCTGCCCTCGCCGTCTTCTCGAGGCCGCTCAGAAGACTCCTCCTCTGTCCGGCCTCCAGCCCCCAGTCCCCAGCCCCCAGCCCACGAGGCCATCAGCTGCTCCATCTGTCAGCCCTCCCCCACAAGTACTTCTCACCCTTGTCATGGCGCCTGCCAGGCTGGGTTGTAAGTTATCCCCGTTCCCAGCGGCTTCCAGCTGGAACGCCACTCCTCAAGGTCAAACCTGGCTTGCTACCAGGAGCATGTGGTAGCCAGTACAACTGGGGCGGCCAAATTGCCTCTGTAGGGGCAAGGAAACTGAGACTCAGTGAGAGAAAACATTATAGTTGAGGGTCACAACCAGTGAGCAGGCCGAACTGGTCCTGCCCAGAACAAGTTTAGTTCAGTGCATAATCCCGGCAAAAAATTAGGCCCAGCCCGGGTGTGCTGGCCTCCTCGCCTGGGCCTCCTCCTGTGCTCCTCCTAGGACGCTGTCCATCCTGCCTGGGGACAGATGGGCCCTCTCAGGGACAGAGGGGTGGGTGCTGAGGATGGCTTTATTTCTGGATCATACAGCTGTCTCTGCCACACTTCTCTAGGTATGAGCGGATCTTCTGCAGACCCCACAGGGCCACTGAAGGGAAGCCCCCAGTTGGCATATGAAGGTACCCATGGGGGCAGGGCAGAGGTGGCCCTGGAATTTGGGTCTCCCAAGCTCTCTGTCAGGGCTTGCCCTACAGCCGCCCAAGTCCTCACTCTGTTCCATTGCAATTGTGAAATCCAAGGTGAACTTAAACATAGGTCCAAATCAATGGCCCAGGGGAGATGTTTGTGAGCTGTCCCTGCTTCTGACCTGCACGGTGTTTCCTGGGTGTCCACACCTGTCCCTCTGCTTGTCTCTACCCCCAATCCCTGGTCACTTGCACCCTGGGGCCCTAAGGAAAGGTGAGCAGCCAGCCATGGGTCTGCACCGGCAGCTGCTTGTTCATGATCCCCTGGGCACAAATTCAGCTGTGTCCACTTGCTCTGTGACCTCGGGCCAGCCACTTGGCTGTCCCTCTGTTAAATGACACTGCTCGGTGCACCTGCCAGGGTGGTGGCAGACATCAAGTCTCAGTTCAGCAGCACAGCGCTTTACACGCGCGGGTCTTCCAAAACCTCGCAGCCCGTGCTGCAGACACGTCAGTCTCTCTCTTCCTGGTGACGAGACGGTGCCTGGAAAAGCAATCGGTGACAGCGGTGCTGGGAGGGGACGTCCCGGCCCTGTGCTGCCCGAGCCCTCACCCCTGCCGTGTCTCTCTCTCTGAAGCCCTCCCACCGTGTTTCTGAGCCTCTGTGCTGAGCACAGGAAAGGTCACAGCATGTGCCCCGAAATCAGGTCTCCCAGCAGTCACCGCACCGGGCTGTGAAGTGCAAAAGTTAAACACACAAATGGAAACTGTTTCTAGATTTTCTGACCATGAAGTCCATGGGAAAGGGAGGCTGAGCATTTTCCTCCTTTCCTGCTGCCCCACACACCCTGCCTGAGCAGTTAGGCTCTCATCCTGGGCAGAGGCGGAGGAGGGTGGTGGGTCAGAGCCCGGGCTCCCAGGCGGGCCCATCTGGGGTCAGTGCCCCTTCCTGGCTGTGTGACTCAGCGTGTGGCTTAGCACCCCCATGCCTCGGTTTCCTTGTGTGCACCTGTCTCACCGTGGCTGTGGGGATTAAAGGAGTTAACCCACAGAGATCACGCAGAACCACGTCCGGGCATGGTTCTGTGTGATGGTTCTAAGTGCTCCGTAAACAGCCCAGAGTAAAGAGAAGGCAGGTGTGGTCTGCTGCTACCTGGCTCCTGGCCCATCACGCCCCAGTGACTCCCTTGTCCCTTCCCTGCAGTTCATCTCGGAAGCCATCATCCAGGTTCTGCAGAGCAAGCACCCCGGGGACTTCGGTGCCGACGCCCAGGCCGCCATGAGCAAGGCCCTGGAGCTGTTCCGGAACGACATCGCCGCCAAGTACAAGGAGCTGGGGTTCCAGGGCTAAGCCCCCTCGTGCCCACCCCCCCACACCTGGAACTGGGCCCCCAGGGAGGGCGGGGACTGAGTCCTGTAGCCGTGTAGAGTTTGTCTGCTTTGTTTATGGGTGGTGGGCAGGCGAGGCGGAGGGAAGAGTGGTCGTTCGAGATGGCTCTGCCCACCTGGGCACCGCGCTCCGAGGGGACCTAGGAGAGGCTTGGCTCTTTGCTCAGTGTGGCCTGCAGGGTCTGGGTCATACTTCAACCTCCTCTTCCCTAACCCCCAACCCAGCTCCTTCCAGCGTCAGACCAGCCACACTTCAGCCTCCCCAAGCCCTCAACTAAGTCCAGCCAAGATAGCTCTCTGATCCCCACCTGCCCCGTGAAGACAGCACGTCCCGTGGGTCCGGGCAGGGTGGGGCAGCCACGTCCAGCACGGGGAAGCATCTGGGTATCTGGAACATGCGTGCACCTTCTCAGGTGATGGGGCGGCCCACCTGGTTTTAATAAAAGGCCCTGCAACATCTCAGTCTCGGCCTGGAGTTTTTAGCCCCTGGAGCAAGTGAAGCACCCAGTCCACCCCCCACCTCAGGAAGAGAAGGCAGGAAGACAGGCGCTGGGGTTGTGGATGCAGAGAGCCTTGTGAGGAAGAAGGGAGGAGGGGACAGGAGCCCACCCTCCTCAGGCCACTCCAGAGGCAGGCAGAGGACACGGAGGAAGGGCCTTACCCAACCTGGGGGACCTTGGACCTTTGCAATGTGGGAGCTCAGTGCCAGGTGACAGGTTGTGGGAGCCCAGAGGACAGGGGATGGGACCGTGGAGATGGTCACTGTGGTTAGTGAGACCAAAGTAGAATGCAAGGTCATCTTGGGAAGTGGCAGAACTGGGAGTTGAAATCGTGGCCTGGGGGGCAGCAGGGACTCATTGTGACCAGGGAGACACAGCTAGGTGGCCACCAGTGGCAGACACTGACCTCCTGGCCACAGACAAAGGGCAGCCACATGGGGATAAGTGAGAGACACGGGCTGAGAGACAAAATCCACGCCCGCAAATGCAGAGCACACGGGCGGGGACCTCAGTGTCACTGTGAGCCTGAGCCAGGCGCTGGCACGTGACTGTGCAGCTGGGAAGCAGCTGGAGCAGAGGCCACGGAATGCGGGCTGCAAAGGGCCTGGGGGCTCCCCAAGCCGTGAGGGCCTTGAGCGCCGGCCCCCAGTCCAGGTGCCATCCCTGGGAAGCCCACATCCCTAGCACTATGACTCTTGAGTGGCTCCCAGGACAAGGGACCTCATGCTCTCTGCCCTTGAGCATCCCCCAGATGAGCCTGCTGTCACTGTCCCAAATCCCAAATCATGCAAGGCTCCTGGGCACTGCACAGGACAGAGCTCAGGTCCTGCACCCCTGTTAACAGCCTGTGCTGTGGCCCAGGGCCCCGGCACGAATGGGCCACCTGCCTCCCTTCTGCTCCGGGGAGTGGGAATTCTTGGGCTCTGTGAAGAAGCGAGAGAGAAAGAAAAGGGAGCTGGGATGGCAGGAGCAGTCTGATCTTGAGACTGAAAAGAATCCACAGTCGAATCACGTTAGTACTCGGCTGCACACTCAGGCCGTGCACGCTCCACTGCAGAGGCGTGCGCAGGGTTCCAAGTTGGAGGAACCAGGTCCCTGCCCTCACGCAATTGACAGTCGAGTCAGGGAGACAGTGGGCTCTGGTGATTACTGGGGACAGAATGAAATTCAGAGTGCAGAGGCGTGTCGGTGATTGTCATTCACTCAGCATCGTGCAACAGATGTTTGTTGGGCACGGCAGGTAAACAAAGACCTCAGTTTATCCCTGCGATAGGCACCAAACGGAGCCGTTCCCGTCTGTTCAGGCCTCATCTGTGCACCTAAGTGGCAGATACTCAAACTCAGGCTGTCTGAGGCTTCGCCCAGTCCGACCAAGGGTGGACTCATTCCCAGGGCTTACGTGTGCCCCGCCGTGGTGCATGTGGCTGGGGAGGTGGCAGTCTGGTAGCTGCTGTTGGCTGTGGCCACTGGTCTCCTTGGGACTGCCCGCCTAGTCCTGCATCGTTGTTCAAGCAGAGGAAACCCTGTGACTGCCCAGGCCTGCTTTTGCTTGGGGCCGCTTCCTTCTCAGAACACCCCCTACACTATGAGGGCTCCACTCAGGATGTGAGGTGCCTATTTCCTCTGGATCTGGTTGCTGCAGTCTGACTGAGCTTTTGCCACCCCTGCAGGACACGGCAGGCCTGCCCCGTGCTGTTGTGTGGGCTGTGCACTCCACAGGGTCTGGCTGAGGGGCTGGTAAGGGCCGGGTGCAGTCTGTGCTCGTCACCACACTGCACACAGAGGGGCGCCTTTCCTAATCCACAGAAGGTGCTCCGTGAGCTAGAGGTGGCCCCAAGCAGAGGCAGAGCCACTCTCTCTGGGAACCACCTTCATCTGCAATCTTACTGTCTTCCTTCAACTACCCTCCTTCTGGCCGTTTCAGGAAATGATTTTCCAGGCTCAGTTGTGGTAGTGCAGCAGGAGCCAACGTTTGCAATGGTGAAAGCCATAGGGAAGATGGGGGGTCCGTTCCCAGGTTGCCCTGACCCAGGAGTACAAATGGGCCTGGAGTCCTGGAAGGCTGGCAGGCCTGGGGGAGGATTGAAGTGTGAAATTCTGTTAAGAGTGTTCATTTTCTCTCATGAAATAAATGAACTAACTTTAAAGAGAGAAAGAAAAAAAGAGAAAAGACAAAACAGGAGAGATTGATTTTCCAGCCTGAAAAGCAGGAAAGTCTCAAGATTTCCTTCAGCTCTTTCTCTGTGTTCTTCCCGACTCTCTCAGGGTCTAAGCTGCTGCTTCTCCCTCTTTTTCATCATCTTCTTCTTTTTTTAAAGTTAGCTATAGGGTGTGTGAGCTCACTGGAGAGGGACAGAGGCAGAGAGCGAGGGAAAGTGAGAACGCACACCCCTCCCAGGAGGGGGATGGCTGCAATTCCTTCTCCATTCTCTCGGGGGTGTCGATGGACATAACCAACTCTGCAGATTCTATCATTAATGTGGCTTCTTTCTTTTTTCTTTTTGAGAGGTTTTTGCTACAGGGCTTGTGCGCTCACCAGAAAGACAGAGAAAGACAGAAAATGAGAAATCGAACCCGCCCCCCCGGGGCCACACCCCAATCCCCTCTCCTCCATTCTCCTCTCGGGATCTTGGGCACGCACGCACACACACACACACACACACACACACACCGGCATGAGTTTAAGCCACTGGGTCTGGGACTTGAACCATGGTCAATTACATGGGAGTCCAGCGACATAGCCATTACGCCAACTGCTGGCTTATTTTTAAACATGAATATGTATGGCCATGCTCGGAAAAGGGACAAACATACCTTTTCTCAGGGTGATCAGATGTTAAGGTTCCTTTTATTTGGTTTTGAGAGTGAGAGGTTTTACAATTTCTAGGTTGCTGATCAGAAAGGTCTGGGTTTCAGAAAGGCAGCAGAGAATGTCTTATAACAGAAATAAGGGGCTCATGCAGGTCTCAAGATACTGTCCCAAGGATAGGATGTGGGAAGAGTCCTGCTGTCAATGAGTCAGTCTGTTAATGCTTGTAGGCGTGACTCACTCTTCTCAAGGATACTATGCCAGGGATCGGATATAGAAAGAGTCCTGTTATCAACTGGGCCAAAATGGTTTGTGAATGTTTGTGGGCATGACTCACCCCAGGCTCTATGGAAGGGATTTTGGAAAACAGGAAAAAGCAGTCAGACTTCTGTCTTCAGGATCTGGGGCATGCATACACATGTACCCAGCATGTTGTCCAAGCTGCAGGGTTGGCAGTTGGCCATGTGGGGTCCAGCCACCTTAGCCACCATGCCAACTGCTGGTGCTGGGTCTAAGTTACACAAATTCAGGTCTGAGACATGGCTTTATTTGTTTGCTTGTTTTGTTTCCACCTGTCACATCCTTGGTCGAGGGTTGGGCACAGAAATACCTTGCTGTCTAAAGAAGCAAAGGTAAAAGAAAAAAGAAAATCCTAGGGGAAAATACAGGCTAATATTTTTAAATACTGCCCCGCAATTGCATTTATTCTGCATTCATTTAACACATATTTACTGAGCAGGTACCATGTGCCTGGCCTCAGACTGGGTCACAGCCATGAATGAGGCAGACATGGTCTCTGCGCTCATGAAGCTCCCAGGGTCTGAGAAGGAAGAGGGAAATAGCCTCTATTAGACTTCCGAGGACAGTGGGGGAGTCTGATAAGCAGAGAAGGAGGAAGGGAGTTTGGGTGCAGGGAATTGCACCAGGAGATTATTTTAGAATGAATTCCCTCACTGGTACATCAATGCATTCATTGACCAAATATTTCCTAAGGCCTGCAATGAGCCAGGCACTGGGCTACGCCCTGGGGGTGACCTGGAAACACAGATGGGTTCTGCCTGAGGGAGCTTGCCAGGTGAAGGGCTCTGGGAGAATGGTAAGGAGGAGTCAGGGGTGTGGGGTGAATGTGGAAGGTCTCCGGGCCCACTCAGGGGGATAAACTCACAAACAGGTGGGATATTGGATAGGGTTCTGTAAAGATTCACAACAAATATGAAATAGATACATACATAGGGTCTTCTAAAAGTTCATGGAAAATGAGTATTTTTTTAAAAAATTGCATGGATTTCAAATATTTTTGCGCCAAAATAAACTTGTTTTTTAACTCTTTTTTCCCATGAAGTTTTGAAGTCCCCTTGTATATATACCCTCTCCAAATGTTGCCTTTTAGATTTACTGTTTTCTCTTTTGGGAATTTTGTTTGCTTGTTTCGATTTTGCCAGAGGGCATGTACACTCTCTCTAGGGAGATACAAAGAGAGAAGGAAAGCAAGAAAGTATCCCCCATGAGGAATGGTCACTCCACAATCCCTTTGCCTCTCTCTCCCCTCATTTTGGGATTTTAGGCACATGTGCACATGCGTCTGGCACACTTTTTTTTTAATATTCTCAGATTTTTAAAAAGGTTAATTCAATCAAATTAATTAATTAGTATTATTTTAACTTTCTATAGGGTACATGTGTTCGGGGGTGGGGGGCTGGAGAGCATGTGTGCTCAGGGGAGGGCAGAGAGGAGATGAGAAAGCAAGCCACCTGGTCCAGGACTCAAAACACGGTCAGCTGTGGGAGGCTGGCACCAGCAAATATCACTGGTTTCTCAGAGAGCAAACAGTTACACAATTACAAAGGCCACAACTGGCTAAACCATACTCTGATTGGCCACTTCCCATAGCAGATCGGTGACCTTAGAATCCCTCAGATTTGCATATCCGGCACCTCATGATTGGTCCACAAAAGCAACCAATCATAACCCACCTTTTTACTATCCTTCATTCAGCCAATCACTGCCCACCAACATGTATATAACCGCGATCCCTGGCCCACAATCACCAGACGACCCTGAAGATCCTGAAGAGTTGTGACACCGCGTCGTCTCCAGACAACCCTGAGCTGTGACACTGCGCCGTCTCCGGACGATCCTGAAGAGTTG